GTTAAAAAATTTATCTTTCAATCAACTGATCAATGGAAGCTCTGACATATTGACATACATGCTCCTGAACATCAGTGAGACCACAACAACTTTATGTTTTCCTGATATTATGACATTTTACCCATTGTGTTTGATGCTGCGCGACTAAAGAGAAAATTAAATAAGTCTGATGTCTATAAAGGTAAATAGACAGGTAATATCACAGAATAATCATTTATCAAGCAAAAATACCGAACATGTTGCTAGTTCCTGCTTCTTAAATGTGAGAATTTGATGCTTTTCATTGTTTTTATAAGATTAGAATAGGGCTGAAACAATTCATTGATTAAATCGATTAATTCGATTACTAAAAAGCATCGACGCAAATTCTTTGCATCGATTCTGAAAAGAAAAGGATTTGGCTCTGACTGTCAGATTTTTCTTAGGAAATTCAACAACAGAGAAGTAAGCAGAAGCTGTCGTATCAAATGATTATTTGTCCCTCACAGTGCTTAGTACGTCTCACGCAAGGATGAAACAGTTAGTTGTCTAATTAACAACTGATTAATGAATCAACAGAAAAGTGATATTTGAAGATGTAAATACACTGTTTTCAGCTTTTTAAATGTGAGAATTCAGATTAGATATTACACGCTTGTTCCTGCTGATGGTTCTTTAGTTGCAGTGAGTTAGCTAAGAACTCATCACAGTGACTCTGGGACTTTCTCTATTCCTCATCATTGAGTTTTGAGGTCAGTGTGACAAAGGTGAAATAGATAAAAACAGACAGACTCAGTGTCTGAATGTCTTTCAGGGGTCAAAGTTCAGAAGGGCACGTCAAAGCTTTGACATCCTTTCACTGGTTTCTCAGTTTCCCTTTAATCAGGAAAACAAGGAGCCTGTCAGCACTGTTTGGTTTACACATCCAGATGTTATTAGCCACGTTGTTTAGGGTTAAAACATCTGTAACACAGACTTGTTCAAACATGCAACATAAAGACAAAAGAGAAGCCTGCTGACTCACAACATAACAAACATGACAGCTGCTCTACACCGCTGTGTCTCTGCTTACCGCAAAGCTTTTTGCATTGGCCCGGGGTTGTTGCTGAGCTGTGTGTTTTCTCAAGGTCTGAGTGATAATGGCTGTGTTGATGGAACGCTCTGTGATGGGAGGTGGTTGTGTTTGGGTCTGCCGTATCATATATCAGTATAATTTTTAAGATGATAGAAAAAATTTGTGATATGGATTTCTTTCCCGCAGATCCGATCCCCGATCATTCCTTCACATTTTTGTAAGTTATAAATAAGTTTTAATGCAGGCCGGGGGGGTGTTATTGAGCTAATATCTCTAGTCTTTTCAAAAAGAGCCCACTCATTTGCACATAAGTAGCTCTGTCTACTCAATAAGTAAAAGGAAAGTAAAATCAATAAGGTCTGAGCTTACAGATACTGCTAGCGGGACCTATAATGTAAGGTAATGTCTTGAGAGACATTGTGTCATTTTAATGAAATCGAATTTGACTTGAAACGCGATAAAGAAAAAAAAAGAAAGATGTTAATTAGTGATGGGCACCTAAACGCAGTACTAAACAGGTCCAGGCTGAAGATCGTACTGTTCATTATCAGGCTGCTCTCAATGTCGACTCCTGCACACACACACACACACACACACACACAAACACACACATGCGGGCACACATACACACAGCGGCCAGCAGAGGGAGAGGTAGCGGGTGGGGCTTGCCATGCAGTGACATTCTGAATCGGAGAGTGGAGGCTACTGGATTAATTGGAGAATGTCCGGTGTTTTTCTACAACTGCTCTTCTCTTTTCCACCTTAGTTTGCAAACCAATAAATCACAATCAACAGTCAAATAGCCACACGAGTCTCGCCGGTGTCCGCCTGAGATCGTATGTTGGCATAAAATGTATTGCTAGGAAACAGCGGTGTGTTTACAGCGAACAGCTGATGTAGTTACGCTAAATACTGGGTCCTGAGTTGTTTGTTTTAAGTTTTCATCAGCCAAGAGGTTTCTACACAGAGCCGAAGTCACTCTCCTCCTCTCCAAAACAAGGAGAGACTCTGTCTCCCAACACCTGGGAGACAGAGTCCATCTTGACTGTGTTTGAGCACCAAGCATCATCAATGTAAAACACAGTCCACCTCCTCTTGCCGGAGCCTTGCGCTGACAGCTCAGAACATGGACCGTCTGTCGAGTGCTTGTTCCGGGATGTTGATGGGGCAGGTCTCTGTAACAATGTGGACAAAACAGTCTCTGAATTCAGTTGTTTGGTCAACATGAGTCCCATTTTGTCCAGACCGGATCTTTAGGAGCAGAATTAAGTCCAAGCTGGGCCAGCGTGGCTCCTCTCCCGGCTCACTTTCCTCTCCTCTGAGCGATCACCACACCTGCCGTGGCGACTGGTGGGTTCGTTTGGGCTGGTGGATCTTGGTCTGCTGCTCATCATCATCGTCTTCATCTTCCAATGATTATTTCAGAAGTAATACGTGTTTTCGGCAAGAAAGCCAGAAAAAAACTGATAAAAACAAAAGTGTAGCAAAGTTTGAAGGAGCTACCGGCTGCCGCTTCTACAAGTGCTGCAGGTTTCCATAGCAAATGTCACCCAACATTATATTGCAATAGGGCGGTCTGCTTCTGAAACAGTGAACAACATCCAAACCGTGACGACATGTTTGTTCGGCATCTTTTAAATTGACAAACACCATATGTGTAATTCAGGACACAATTCAAACAGGATCAATAAATGAGGTGTCTCTCCCCGTTGACTACTGTACATTTCTTTTCCAAAATAAGGTCCCATGGGGCGGAAGGAGAATGGGGGCACTTAGGCTCTTTATATCATTACCACAGAAATACCCTGAAATATTGTGATATTATCTTGGGGCCATATCACCAAGTCAGTAACTCAGCTAATGCATACTGTACTCAGCAAATATTTATTTAGAAGGAAACCTGTTTTTACATTACATAGATATAAAGTCCACACATTTACACTCAGTGGCCTCTTTATTAGGTTAAATCATGTTTCAGCACAGAGGTCAAAGTTAGTGGTGGTGTTGTACTGAACTATATTATATTCAGAGGTGTTTATAATATTCTGCACCCTCATATAAAAAGGATAGTGTATAATGAACATATCATTGAATTTACACGTCTCTAAAAATGTCTACAAAAACAAATACCATTATAAACGTTGTAATGGAAGAATCTTTTGCTGAGTATTGAATTGCAATAGATTGTATAGGTGCACTTAATAAAGTGGCCACTGAGGCAAATTTTTCAATTGCAGGTATGAAAGAGTTGTTTGCTTTTGTAAAGAAATCTTCCTCATTAATATGCAAATCTATGCAGTAAAGTGCTCCAAAATCTAATCAGGCCATTGATTCTCTGAGGGCTAAGTAAAGTTTTTATCATGCAAGGACAGGTGTGACAGACGACCAGCCAAAACAAAAATAATCAGTCCTGTCAGGACACACAAAAAGATTTTTCATCTAGCAAAGAAAAGATTACATACTTGTCAAGTCAATTTCACTAATATAGCCGAATATTACAAATAGACACATTTTGAGACTACAATTTTGTCTTTAAACCATGAGTATCCCTCCAGATAATAGGTGTTTCATGAAGATTGGAAATTATAAATTGGAACCATGCATTACTGAACCAAAGCTTTTCATCTATTGCTCCTACTGATCTCTGCCAACACAGGTCAAAGCAACTCATTTGCAGAATTAGCTCTGACAAACAAACGGTACATAATATAGTATATACAGCCTGTGAGTTCACACCCCATGCTAATCTCCATTCCTTGGATGCAAGCAACTCGTCATTTTGGCTGAATGAGCTTGTTACATGTAGACCAGAGAATGAGTAGACAGAGAGAATGGCAGCTATGTGGATGTCATGTTGTACACAGACAGGCAACCACACCAAGGGAATGTATGAATACTAGGGCTGCAACTAAAGATTATTTTCACTGTCACAGAGGAGTAAAGAAAACCACAAAACATTTACATTTAAGAAGTGATTGAGAAGGCCATTAATTTAATAGGCGTTTAATTGTTGCAGCTCTAAAGAATACAGAAAGTGATCATCAGAACAGGTTTCATGACTCTCCTGCTTTAACAGTGCCATCCTCGAGAGCCCCGCAGGCTCAGAGGCCATGTGAAAATTATTAATTGAGGACTACAACTCCTTTGGATGGTTAAAAGGATTTAAATGATCAAAAAGAGTCCTGGATTGTTTAAAAAGGGGTAAGGAAAAAAACTTGATACTGTACTGTCAAGTTATACTGTGTTCTCCAACAAAAAAATATAAAGATGAGTCCTGGAATGGATGGGGAGCTTGTGTGTCTTTAACTAAAGTCCAGAATGTGTGACCTTTCCATGGCTATTTGTGAAGCCCTCTTTAACAGGCAACAAAGTTTGTTTTGTCCTGTGGATTAAAATGAAAGTGCTGGAGTATCAAGTGTCAGAGATGATGAATCTCTTGATCCCTGGTGGCCCTGAATGTCACCATGTTGTTTCTCCGAGGTTAAACTCCACTGGACCGTCTGAGAAAGATCTTCCAGAGACTGATGCACATTATTAATGCACTGCAAGTACTGTGAAACTTCTGGGGAAACCTATGATCTCACATTGCTGTATTAGCTGCCAGCTACACTCTCCCAAAATGGCCTTTTCCATCAATAAAATGATTGCAGTCCCCTATATTATGAGAGTGTAGTGTTCAAATGCTTTATGTCTCATGTCTCATGTATATGTGTAGTCAAAGTTTCCTATGCAATTTCAACACCTCACAAGCAAGGTTGAGTGTTGTGAATTAAGTTATCGCTGTCAGCCAGTTTGGCAGGCAAACAGTCAGTGTTGACATCTTTTACTTGGTATTGGCTGGAAGAACATCCAGGGGAAGGGTGACACTTGGAACAGACTCAAAATACAAAGCAGGAATGACAACACAGTGATCATTTCAGGAATGTAATAACACTGGAGGACTTACCCATGGTGGCAGCTCAACAGTAGGCACGCTTTGCTTCACTACTTTCTCCTCATGCTCCAGGAATGCTAAGGCACGGTTTATCCTGAAGTCCTTACTGCCGTGGTTTTTCCTCCAATAGAACAAAATGGCGAGTCCAATCATGACCCAGCTAAAGCTGAACCCAAAGTACCCCAAGATGTAGATCGGGCAGATAATGGCAAAAGTCTTGCCGAATATAATCCACATTTGCTTGACATCTGTCAGAGACGACTGTGGCTCTTCGTCCAGCGCCCTTGGGGACAGAGGTGGGTCTGTGGTGGAGCTCACCGCGGTGCTGGCCGCTGCAACGGGTCCATTTGCCTTGACACCTGGTGCCGCCGAACCCTCCATCTTGGTACTTATTTCCCCACTGGAAAGACATTTTGACAGACATTTACACTAGATGCTAATGTCTTGTCACAAACAGTGGCTTACAAAATTGCATTTGTTTCATGACTGCCAATTAGAGGCTTCATGGTGCAAGATATTTATCTTCAATCACAGACATGCTGTAGTTCTAGTCAAGCACAACATGGAATCAACAAGCTAACTTACTAGCTCATATATGTACCATTGAGATGCTGTGTTTTAGGCTTACTTGGCCTTTTTTGATCAATGCTAACTACAGACTGTAAGGTGCTAACACTGAGTGTGTAAGGACAGCACAGGGCTGGTTAAATGTCTTTATAAAATATCTCCCTTCCTGTGAACCAAAGACCTCCCAAAAATACCAGGCTCCAAACAACAAAAAATTTGATAACATTATAATCTAAATGATCAGGAAGCAAGTTCAACATGTATCCATGAAAATCTCAAAATCTGAATTAATCTAAACTACTTTTGTTTGTTTGTTTGTTTAATCAAAAAAGGATTCCACGGATACTTGTGTGGTAACCTTTTTATATACAGTCTATGGTAGTAACGTTACTAGGACTTATCCAATCTCTCTTCAACAAGTAGATAGTAAAAAGTTGGTAACTGCAAATGACTACCACCCTTTGTTTAGTCTACAAAATGTACACAGTCATGTACCCTACAAGTGAGAGCCTAACTTACACTTCATACCCACAACAACCGCTGGCTGAACTGCCATTCAAGTGCCTGACCTCCTATGCAAAAATGCTAGTTTTTGCTACCTTTCTTCCTGAGAAATCTGAAACAAGTAAGAATTTGAAAAATTGGAAGCGTTTAGAAGCACTCTTTAATTCGGCATACATCCAATACAACTACACAAAATGTTTTAGTGGTATTTCAACTTTGAAAAGTGCCTCCACCGTTTTTCCCACAATCTTCTGCCAAAGCCAAAACACCCCGCCGTCGAAGGCAACGTTAATTGTGAAGCGTTTGTGAGAGTAACTTAGAGATTTTGCTGAAATATGTGTTGCTAGGTTTTGTTGTATGTATGCCGAATTGAAGAGCAAGGACTATTAAATCCAAAACGCACTGCAGTCAATCATGATCGTGTGTACAGTTTTACCGCTAAGCGCAGCAACTCTTAACTGCCTTGTATTTTAACAGAGTCTGTCGTGACGTTCGATCCACAAAGTGACACGTATTGAGGCTAGGAGTTCACCACCAGCACTGCGTAAACCAAACACCAGCGAAAATACAACTTCTTCCTCGGCGACCACCGCAAGCAACACTCACCGGTATCCGCCTGCGACATTCGCTCTTCTCCGAAAAATAAACTACAATTCACTCTTCCAGCCCAGTCCACTGCATAACCAGCAGGCAAACTCTGATAACCCTCTCGCCCTTCCCTTCAGTACATGCGGCTGTGCGAGGGCGACCAGTCAGTCTGAACAACCCTGCAGGAAACTGTCATCGCGGGAAAGAGGTCAGCCTCCGTCAGGGAGGGAGCTTCAAAACACAAACACAGCAGCGAACCCGGACGCCATCTTGCGGCAGGGACAAAACTTCTGGAGAGTGAGTTTCTAAGTTTCTATTCCACTGTCAAGGCAATGGGTGAAAATGGGCTGTCTATTCCAGCAAGCCTTAATCCACTTAACTACATTGAGGACAATACAATATAAAAACCAATGATAAGTATGTCTCCACCATTGCATTGTTGCATTATTCGTTCTAGATTAGAAACTACCACAGGCCTACTGGTCGTACTCAGTAGTAGCATGGATACTTCAAATGCTGTATCTGTTAAAAATATTTCAAAAATAAAAATAAACAATACACAAGACAAAAATCTGAATTCACCCCCTTTTCTATTTTTATAATAAAGGAAATCAGGTTTTAAACCACATTTAGGGTCTTACTATGATGTCTAGTTATTCAGGTCATTCTTTCATTAGATTTTCTGTAGCCTACATTTGATTTCTCTACTGGACATCTAAAAGCCTTCACACTCCCAGGAATAACATTGTGGTGTACTGAACCATTGTAATTTTTTTGTATTGTCCTAAAAGTTGGTCAATTAAATGTGAATATACAGTGAGGAAAATAAGTATTTGAACACCCTGCTATTTTGCAAGTTCTCCCACTTAGAAATCATGGAGGGGTCTGAAATTGTCATCGTAGGTGCATGTCCACTGTGAGAGACATAATCTAAAAAAAAAATCCAGAAATCACAATGTATGATTTTATAACTATTTATTTGTATGATACAGCTGCAAATAAGTATTTGAACACCTGTCTATCAGCTAGAATTCTGACTCTCAAAGACCTGTTAGTCTGCCTTCAAAATGTCCACCTCCACTCCATTTATTATCCTAAATTAGATCAGTAAGAATCCAACTACTAACATGGCCAAGACCAAAGAGCTGTCCAAAGACACTAGAGACAAAATTGTACACCTCCACAAGGCTGGAAAGGGCTACGGGGAAATTGCCAAGCAGCTTGGTGAAAAAAAGTCCACTGTTGGAGCAATCATTAGAAAATGGAAGAAGCTAAACATGACTGTCAATCTCCCTCGGACTGGGGCTGCATGCAAGATCTCACCTCGTGGGGTCTCAATGATCCTAAGAAAGGTGAGAAATCAGCCCAGAACTACACGGGAGGAGCTGGTCAATGACCTGAAAAGAGCTGGGACCACCGTTTCCAAGGTTACTGTTGGTAATACACCAAGACGTCATGGTTTGAAATCACGCATGGCACGGAAGGTTCCCCTGCTTAAACCAGCACATGTCCAGGCCCGTCTTCAGTTTGCCAATGACCATTTGGATGATCCAGAGGAGTCATGGGAGAAAGTCATGTGGTCAGATGAGACCAAAATAGAACGTTTTGGTCAGAATTCCACTAACCGTGTTTGGAGGAAGAAGAATGATGAGCACCATCCCAAGAGCACCATCCCTACTGTGAAGCATGGGGGTGGTAGCATCATGCTTTGGGGGTGTTTTTCTGCACATGGGACAGGGCGACTGCACTGTATTAAGGAGAGGATGACCGGGGCCATGTATTGCCAGATTTTGGGGAACAACCTCCTTCCCTCAGTTAGAGCATTGAAGATGGGTCGAGGCCGGGTCTTCCAACATGACAATGACCCGAAGCACACAGCCAGGATAACCAAGGAGTGGCTCTGTAAGAAGCATATCAAGGTTCTGGCGTGGCCTAGCCAGTCTCCAGACCTAAACCCAATAGAGAATCTTTAGAGGGAGCTCAAACTCCGTGTTTCTCAGCGACAGCCCAGAAACCTGACTGATCTAGAGAAGATCTGTGTGGAGGAGTGGGCCAAAATCCCTCCTGCAGTGTGTGCAAACCTGGTGAAAAACTACAGGAAACGTTTGACCTCTGTAATTGCAAACAAAGGCTACTGTACCAAATATTAACATTGATTTTCTCAGGTGTTCAAATACTTATTTTCAGCTGTATCATACAAATAAATAGTTATAAAATCATACATTGTGATTTCTGGATTTTTTCTTTTAGATTATGTCTCTCACAGTGGACATGCACCTACGATGACAATTTCAGACCCCTCCATGATTTCTAAGTGGGAGAACTTGCAAAATAGCAGGGTGTTCAAATACTTATTTTCCTCACTGTATATCTAAAGATAGGCTATAGGAATCAGCCTTTCAGTTTTATTATACTAATATTATTATCTCCTGAGCATCAGTGATAGGCTATCGGTGAGGTGAGGTACTTACGCAGAGCCCAAAGGATACTAAAGGACAGTACCCAGCCAGCCACAGCCTGTTCACCCTGCTGCCTTCTGGGAAGAGATACATAAGTTTCAGCTGCCGCACCACCAGACTGCAGAGCAGCTTTTCCCTCCAGACTTTTAAGCTTGAATTCATCCTCAGCACTGCTCCACTGAAAATAGTTTATTTCGGTTTAGCCTTTTTATAATTGCTTCTATATTAATGTACATTGTCTGCTATCAGAAGGGAGGTACAAACTCAATTTCACTAAATAACCTGTTGTATTGTGACAAAATAAATCTACCTACCTACTATCCTGTGTAACCTATAATAACTTATTTAGAATTTAGAAGAGATTTAGGGCATACTAGGTCATCGCTGCTCAGTGTGCTGTTGACAGTGAGCTTGCGCAGAGGGCATTTCCCCACTAGATGTCATAGTAATGTTTGTAAACTGAAGCATCACAGCTGATGTGAAATATAAATCCATATCATAGAAGGTGAATTCAAATCTGAAAAAAAAAGAAAGAACACAGTCCAATGACAGTTGATATCAAGTGAACTCATAAAAAAAAAACTGCTAAATAAACTGTTAGCACTTCAGAGAAGAGCATATAAGCTACCTACCTTATACATGGTGGAGCAGTAATAAGGAGTCTTGTAAAGTATATATATATAAAGTAAAATGTTTATAAGGTGGTTGTTTATTAGTCATTATTATATGACACAAGGTTGTCGAACAAAAGTTTGTAGTCCCTTCATGCTACATACACAGAACTTAACAGATAGAAATGTGTATGAAAATATGATAATATTTAAATTAAATAAAACAATAGGCAATACACAGTTATTTACATACAAGAGCTATATATATACACATACACACCCCGAACATTCTTCAGTGCATTTTTCAAAATTTGTTTCTGGGGTGAATGTAAATGAAAGCGACAAGATGATGATTCTGTCTGATATTTGGGAAACAGAGTCCATCTTGATTGTGTTTGAGCACCAAGCATCATCAATGTAAAACAGAGAGTCCACCTCCTCTCACCATGCCGGAGTCTTGGGCTGACAGCTTTGTACACGAACCACCCGCCGAGTGCTTATTCTGGGATGTTGATGAGGCAGGTCTCTGTAAAGATGTGGGCACAACAGTCTGATTTAAGTTGCTTAGCCAACATGAGTCCCAATTTGTCCAGATTGGACCTTTAGGAGCAGCCTTATATCAAAACTAGGCTAACATGGCTCCTATCCTGGCTCTCTTTCCTCTCCTCTGAGCCATCACCGCACGCTCTGTGGCGCCTTGTCCAGTTGATCAGGCCAGGTGGATTGTGGTCCGCTGCTCTTTTATTCAAAACCCTGTCTTCCTTTCCCAGTGACTGTATTTCTTTCAGAGGTAACACATGTTTCAGCTATAAAGCCGGGAAAAACAGATGAAAAGCGTAGCTAAGTGTAGCTAAGTTTGAAGGAGCTACTGTCTGCTGCTTCTACGAGTGCTGCTGGCAGCAATAGCAAGTTTCTGAACAAACACTTAAATTGAAATGAAACACACCTGTAATTGTAATGCACGGTGACTATACGTCCTTCCTCCCGAAAGCCTTTTTGTCTTGTGCCCCTCAGAAACTACCTAATTTTTAAGAGAAAACACTTTAGATAAGAGAAACTTTAGTGAATTAACAGAAGATAGTGGGTTTAAGTTGGGTAGTTAGATGTTCTTTTTTTACCTACACATATGTATAGACGTAGGCCTATGTGTGTAATGCAGCGATTCCCAAAGTGAGGTATATGCACTCCTGGGATCTGTGAGCTGCCTCTAGGGGGTGCGCGACAGGAAAAATGTAATGGCGGTGTGGTAGTGTAATAACTACAACAATTATTTTTGGTGGAATTTCTCATGAAATTCTTCAGAAAATTGTCTGCCTTCTCTTCAACTTGGACATTGAAATATGTATATCCATGTATATATATATATACCTTGGAGTCCATTTGCATTTAGTTCAAGAGTAAGGTGTCACATGAGTCACAGGAGACCAAAGTAAACTGAGACATTAAGTATTCCTTACCAAACTAAAAAGAACTAAAACTAAATATTATAAGAGTAGTGATAAAGAATTGTTTTAGAGGACAAATACAGCCTGTATAACACTGCAAAGCTCATTATTCTCGTTTCATTTTCTCTCCCCTCTGAAGCGGTGCTGGGTAATGACAGGGAGAGGGATGAGGAGGAGGAGGAGGAGGAGGAGGAGGAGGAGGAGGAGGAACAATGTGTTTCCTAATATGAAGGCGGGAGAGAAGCAATTTGCAAAGCTGCTGTATTGAGGCAATAAACGTTTGTGTTTCCAGACTGTTCAGGTCACATTTTGTAATTGTAAAAATACTCTACTTTGAACAATTACAAATGCAAATGATGCATGTTTATTCATGTAAAATCTCACGCACAGGCAACACCTTGGCTTGTCCAACAAGTTCAAATTAAAAGACAAGATACGTTGCCCTCTAGAATGAAACACAAAAGCATATTCTGATCTCACACCCCTGTCAGCAGGACAACATCATTTGTCAGTGCCTTTTAATACCGTTGCAAATCAATGTTGCAAAAAGTATTGGACATTTACTCTAAGGGCTGTTACTCCCTCCTGGAGCCTTATACAGGGTTTCATCTTCTTAATTGTCACCTTTTTCATCCCACTTCAGTTTGCACTAGTATTTTGGCCT